CATACTGACATACAAGCAGCACGCAAAATAAATTACCTGATAGTAGTTATGTTCATTCCAAATAAGAGGATCTTTTCGGGACTCATTCTGCACTTGCACTATTTCCCGACGCGCAAAGTGGCCCTTCGTCTTCTGGACTACGACGGGGTCTGGGGCCGAAGCAGCAGCAGTAGGTGGAAGTGTAGATGACGTCATGATGACGTTCTTTCCTTTCCTAACGTCATCCGGGGAATCGAAGTTTGGAAACAGTGCACATTTGGGAATATGAGAGTGATATGGGTGCTCTGACGGGAACTTCAGTTGTATGGCATGTTTCCTAAAAACACAACAAATAATATTCAAAACTAACAAATTCTTGAACAGATGAGGTAAAATTCAGCTCAATGAATTTAAAATTTGTGGATATTTTTTCTAGGTGCAAAAATGGTTATGAATTATAGAAGTAAAATATCATGTATTGATTGGTATTATAAGAAGACAAAATCTGCTTCCCTCCTTCATCGACCCCCACCACACACACACACATCCGATCCCAAAACACTCGTTGGATACACACAAGTTCCATCACAAAATTCTTTTTTTAATGAGTCACTGATTTGATTCAGAGTACATTACTTACCCAATATCTAGTTTATGTGGATCTGGTATGCTGTTGATGAAAATGATACTGGTTAAGAATATTGTATTTCCCGACATAATCTATTAATTTTGACCATTTCACTCTTTATGCAAGTATGATAAAATATATTCTTATGACTGATCACAGACCAAACGATTGAGGTTGAGGTTGGGGTAGATAATACGGCCAGTAGTCTCGACTACTATGCCTATTGCATGTTTCGTGATATTATTCACTTATGCACGCAAGTTAGTTAGAGTACTGAAGACTTGTATATCTGACTAGACTTCTCCACAGCATCACTAAGAGTCACGGGCTTCCTGTATTTTTGTTGTGGGTCAGAAGAAGGAGAATGGGAGCAAGACAGAGGTGCGTCATCACTAGTCAGACTAACTGTCAATAAGACCGTTAAAAAGGAAGCCCGAAGGAGGAAAAAAGAGTTCCCTGAAGGAAGGCTAGGTAGTAACCATAATGATTAAAATTAATTTTGCGTCCTTAAATTATTAATTGATGAACAAACAACTAGTGATGTCATGCACCTAAATAATCGCTACACCTTATTTTATTAAATAATAGATGTACTCGATTCTCTTATACAAGAGAATGATAACCACATAAAGTATACTCAATGCATGTGGAACCCACACGTAATCCAAAACATCGTCTCTCATTGTTATGTTGACCAATCATGACTTCAATTATGAGAGATAAAAAATAATTATATGATTAAATAAAAAAAGGAGCCCTATTCTTCTTGGCGTCGGCTTGAAGCTATTAAAAGCCCRTTATGCGAAGTAAAGCAGACTTCMCTGAGAATTATTACTGTAACATACTTCAACTTAGTGAAAGCCGCTTGTAAKATCAATTATGGCCACAAATTCAGTTGCCAGTCAATTTTCGTATGATGATGAAAGCTTGATCAACTTTCTTGGMGATATTTTAAAAACTACTCTAATGATAAAGGAAAGAATTTCTCTCCTTGCTGCTAAATATCCCGTAACCGCGAGGGAAAAGAGTTTGGATGGGTTGATTGATAAGCTACAACAAGATATCGAAGGGAGATTGAATCAGTTACATCCACCACCACTTTCGCCCTTGCCGTCCGAGTTATCCGAGGAATCAATTCCTAGTCCAGTGCAAGAGGTGTCCTTCTCAATTGAGCTCTATGACAGTTCTCTTATTCGACGGCGTACTATTAACTCTCTTGGAAACTTAGGCCAGTCTTTGCCGAGGAAGAAAAAAGTCAAAGAACTTGTAAATGTCGAGATTCTTACTAACGAAAAGTACGATCCGGAGAAACGGGCCATAACATGGCTGCAGTCCAAAGAGTACTCTTCCCTCACTACAACTTCGCTCACCGAAAGCGAGAGGTACGCGGGACACAGCAAAATGTCATTCATTCCGGCKGTACAAGCCCTTGTCATTGATGTTGGTAAACTAAACTTCAAGACYCAATCGGTCCCGTACTTTTTGCTTGATAATCAAAACCACGATTCGACTGTCGGTACWTTTTCACTCGCGCCTTCAGAAAACGCCCTCTGGAAAAAGTACGATTTTCACAACAACATGGAAACTGCAATCAAGATTGCACGCGCAAATTATGAGTACTGGAGCGCTATGTATTACCGAGGTCTTAGCAACAAAGATAAAGATCCAATGCAAAGAGCCCTTGTCAAGGAGTATTTGAGGTCTTACGTGAAAGATCCCATGCGCGCAAAAGGAGTTATCTACTTTTAYCARGTACAGAAAATACTACAGAACCGACAGTTACAAAGTCAAGTTTATATTGGGAGAAGTGAAGATCTTTTCGAGGAAAAGCTCCGAAAGCTGCACCAAGGTGACGAAGGTGAGCCTACACTGGTGAAACTTGCTCTTCAAAGTCAGGCTTTCCAGGGCGAAGAAAGCGAAAACAACATGGAGGAAAATGAGACAAGAAATGTCGCTTTTATCATTGATTTAGGGTACACGGAAGAATTCTTTGAAAAGTATAAAGACAGATTAGATAAAGGAGATAAATTGACCACACTGGAGAAGAATTACATTGAATATTTTGGCGCCAGAAGTCCTTTGGGATTGAACTAAACTGGAGTTGGTTACCATAGTAACTTGGACTCGAAATAAAAYAGTCAAGAATCGATTTCTTACRAAAGGTTGTTCTTGTAAAGTTATATCTATTCTTAAACATTACGAGCACATTGAATTAGCTTCAAGTTAATCTATATAGCTGAAAATCGACGCAGACGCAGGGATTGCTTAAAATCTCGATGAACACTAAAGGTGTCTATACTGAAACTTCTAGATAAACCACAGAACTATGAAATCAGATCAAATGATAATAAATCGTGTAAACTAAAAGAACATAGTCACGATAAAGCTGCAAACAAAATATTAAGACTCGAAGAAGAAGAAAATGACACGTAGGAAAAATAGAAAATGATGCTTGGTATTTTGAACAAACTGAAAAGAAGAAAAATGGTTTGAATAAATCACGTGCCGACTACAAGTGACACCGAAAGACAAAAATCTGGAGACCAACAAAACTTTCAAGCGCTTGAATGTAATCTCCTAATCTAGTCTTCTTTTTGTGGCTACTACCATAGGAAAATAGAGAACCATGCACCCTCATTTATCGTCCAGAATACGTTTGCTATTAAAGCGAGTTTTTCTACTTACAGCTCGTCATTTCTTCTTAGGTTACTTTTCTTAAGTAAGGTTAAATCGTAATACTGCTGTATAGGTAGATTGCTAGAAATAAAGAATAAATCATATGAGCGATGGAACTATTTCTAGACAGCAAACTCTCGCTATTACGCGGACACCCTCTGGACCGTCATTTACTGTCCGAAGTAGGGATGGTCCGTAATAACTTTCAGTCATTTAATACATAAATTGCAAAGAAACTGAACAGTCTTTTGGTGTGAAACATACCAGGGAATGGGCACCACGCCCCCGCCGAAGTGTCGGTGCCCTTTCTGAACCCTTGTCGGTGGTTCTTGTTTTGGTCGATGTTGGTCGGGTAGATTGATTGGTCCAGTTCCGCCATAGCTTAGACTGCGTCCCCACGGTGCGTGTGGCGGTCTATAGGTTCTTGTTTTGTACGCATCAAAGCTAAGAAAAAATGTATTTCGACATCATCAAAATTGAACAAATCAAACGTTTCTATGTTTTAAAAATATTACTACCGTGTCATTGTATGTAGCGTTCAATTTAAAGCCTGCGTAGCGGCTCCAGGGGGGAAGGTTCCGAAAACGGAAGAGCAGGCTAGACCCCACGGGCAATGGCCAAATTTTCTTTTTCCGGAAAAATATTGTCATACTTTTAACTTTAAACTCTTTGTATGTATATAGCCACCTGAATATAACGTCCGACACGATATCAGACAAACCTGTCGGCTAGAAACATTATTTTATGCCCTTTGCCGGTAACGGACTAGGTAAAGAGAACTTCAGTCTAAAAATTTCAAATCTAAGCAAAAAAAAAAGTTAGCTGTAATTTATAAGTAAAGTAAGGAGTTTCATTTCCCAAGAGAGACGTTGCCAGCTGCCATAACGAATACCTGCTAATTTTGAATTTTGCTGTCTTTTCACACTGTAGGCGAGAATTTTAATTTTTACATTTTTAAAACCTATATCACAGTAAACAATATATAAGGTCTAAAGCACCCATACAAACTAACAATAGTACTCATCAATTTTCAATTTCCCCTATACTAGTTCTTTTCGTACACAGTTATTCATTATTAATGATGTTAATATTTTACCGAATATTCAAAATAAAACTCGACGAATAACAACAAATACTAAAGATTAAGAAAAGWTGCMAAAAAAMMCAATCATTATCGGACGAGAAAAGCCTTTAAGTTTAACATAATCTTTTCGTTTGGTCATACAGGGGAGTAATTAGCAGGTTACAAACACACCACTTGTAAGTATTATAAGTAAGCCGTCAAGTATTATTGTAACAACAAACTTTAAAATAAACTCTTAGTTTAGACAGATGCAATGATGAATTAGTCCAAATTATACAACTACACAGCCAAGTAATACAATACAGATCACTAAAACACTGAGTTTGGTCCAGATTTTGACTTTTAAAGAACTTTAAGAAGCCGGCATATGCATAGCAACGTGTTAGCAACCGTTTCGCTTGAATAAATGTTCAACACTTCTGACCCCAACATTTCTAAAGTTTCAATAGTTTTTGACGTAAAAATTGTGCTATTTTGTTCTAAAACTTTTAGAGAAAAGTTAAATATTGTAACTAGCTGATCTAAAGAATATATAATTTATAACTTACTGCCTCTGCGAGATCGATAGACGATCCAAAACTTCGGGCGCGTGCAGCACATTAGATTCAACATTCCTTGAGAGATAGTCAACTCCGACGTGTGTATTATAAAGGGCAGTCTGCAAAGCGGTAGACATTTTCCCTCGAAAATGTAAGAAACTGTTGACAATTCGCCGTACTACATCTCGAAGCTGATATATAAAGTATAGGATTTCAATATATGAAGCCAGATAWTGCCAGTTATAGCCCGGGCCCAGGTCTCTTGTTCTTGCGCGCAACCATCAACATGCATTCACCTTGGTTACCGCGGTGGCTTGCTTTGTTTCGATTGGATAAACAGAGTTCTGAACATGTGCTATTATTTTTTGTTTTGGGGTATTCATTTTTAAAATCACCACAAAGTGATAATGAGAAAAAATACTGGATTTAGATAATGACTACCTCACGGCTAATTAGTCTTTCTTTATATTGTCCTCAGCTCAACTAGGAACTTCAAAAAGTTCTAAAAGTTTGTTTTGAACTTGCGTAAAGAAATTTATCTTTACAATCACTTTTAAGCCAAGGAGGAAACATTTTTTTCGGAATATGTTTTAAGCAGATGTCTTAAAACAAAATTCGATTCTCATTTGCTGATGTCAAACAAAAACAGACTGTCGTATTCGTGTCCCAAATATAGCTACAACTATGTTGACATCAACATCTATATTCACGGATTTTATTGAATCGCACGTAAAGTGTTTTCTCTTTAAAAGRGAAGTTTATCGTTTCTTCTGTCATATTCCTCGTCTTTTGCAGTCCAGTTTTCACTCGGCAGTTTCCTCGTCAAATTGCGTAACACCTGTTATTGTGATGACGTCATAGTACAGCTGGGCAACACTGCGTCATTTAGAAATCTGTCTGYATACTGACTACTTTTTAATTTATTTTTACTTTGTCAAATGTTCACTGAAAGTGATATTTATATAAAAGTTGCGTGATCATAGAATCAGGCAGCCACAAGCTAAATTACAGCTGACTGGAATAATAGCAATCAAAATGCCCCRTCTGTTGTTGCTTGATTGCACAGATGGAACAAAGCACTGCTTRATGGTGATTGGTTGGTTTTGGATAAAAGGTCGATTAAAGTCACTGTATTGAATGACCACTTCACGCGTGACTTGGTTCGTCTCCAAGGGGACTGTGTTTAGGGTTCGATTAGCCAAGTTGATTCAAGGACTTCTTTAGTAAGAACTCTATAATATAGACCGATTCATCCATGAAAAGAGCAACCAATATAACCAAAAACTAATGTGATAATAGTCTTAAAAGAGCAGGAAGTCCTGCGAGAAAATGGCAGCAAGTAGCGACTTCTTGACAAGGCTGCARAGTGACCTYTACAAAGAAAGRCATGGATTCGGTCCTTTGTCAAAAACATTTCAGTCTTCAATTGAACACGCTCCAGGTCTTGTCCAGCATCGTATAACCACATTTCCYGATAGGTGAGTTTAGTTGATATTCGACCGCAATACAGATAAGTGTTAATATTAGAGTCATTTGCGCATCACCCAGTATGATATTGGCGATATGGTAATTTAATATGCTTATCGTTATGTTATAAGTATTGGCATTTATCAACAAGGCGTTAAAAAGCAGCTGGATTGTGATAGATTATCATAATGATTGCTAAACAGCTATAGTATTTCTTTTGGCATTGCCATTGCAAGGGATAATCTCACTGATCTCAGAATTCCATCGTCGTCCAAACGTAGGAGCAACGATTGCCATTATGGATTGCTCTGCTTTGGCACACGGTGCAATTGTTTTTCCGCAAATTATGATGAATTGAGCTACTCTACTTGTTAATGCAGTTGTAAAGATTATGATCACTACGAGTGCTATTTAATGCCAAAATCAAGATCAGCCTGATCTGTATTAATTATTGGTATTTTGTTTTCTAGATATGGTCTGTACGTGCGTAATGAAATACCACAAGTAAAGTGTCCGTGGGGAAGAGCTCGCAGTTATGCTGGTGATGCTCCCGTACAGTTGCCATTAGACAACAGACCTAAATGTGAGCCTCCCCCCTTACTACAGAAGAGCCATCGTCATTTTGGTACTGGGGCGCACCCTCATCCACGGTTAGTTTTAACTGCAACTGCTTGAAGTTGAAAAAACTCCCCTCTGCTTTTTCAATTTTCCCGTTTTGAGTTATTGTTTCATTCCTATGAATCGCAGCTCTTTCCTTCGGGCTTCCTGTGGAAAAGGACAGGTAACCCAGAATGATGCTAATCTGATCTGAAATTTGTTCTTATAGGGGAATCCCTATCAAACAGTTCTACACCCTAACGCAATTGAAGCGAAGCAATTTACGATGGAACGACGAATTGTAAGTAAGATTTTATAATTTTTGATACTCCATGATATAAATTACAAAATATAGAATAACCTTTGATTTCTTATGAATTTCATTTGAAAAAATATATATATGAACTTGTTTTAATTATCTGGTCTTCATGTTTACATTTCTACATATTTTTTCAGGCTTCCGCGACCTTCTACTGCAGATGTTCAGTAAGTATTAGCCCCATCGGTAGCTAAATCCATTCTCGTCCTGTGGATAACCCCGTCCTACTCACCTCTCACCAAAACACCACTTGAAGCATGAAAACAAGTGCCCCAAGTCAGTCCCGGCATCATTCATATATCATATTCATTCATTTATTTTAGCATTTTTCTATCCATTCATAATATTTATTTACTAATTCGTTCAAGTATTTATTTGTTTCCAGGAGTAACCAAATACATATGCCTTTTCCTAAAGAGTCGGCCCTAAGCTCCCACACATCAAGACAAGCCGTCTTTCCCCGTCCTGAACCATACCCTGGGTACGACCCATGCGGCACCCCAGCCACCCCTCCCTCGACAATAGTCAACAAGGCCATGGGAAGCTTTGGACGAAGGGAAATTMTAAACAGTCGTCCTCAATCTTCTAACGAGGGCAATGGCGGCTATAGTATGAACGTCAAGCCAGTGACGGTAAGATTTAGTTCTCTGATTAGTCAGTAAATTTACTCTGATCGGGCTCTTCGTTTACCCGTGTGACTAGTTTACTTTGAAGCTATTTCTTTCGCCATACTGAATTCTTGTTTGCGACCCCTCCCCTCTCCCCCTTCTCCCAAAATAAAGAATAGGGTAACATATTTTTGGATAGTCCAATACTTGGTACGGTGTGAATCCAAAACAATACTCGCAGTATAGAGTCATCAGTTTCATCCGTCTGTGAAATAGGAATTGTACTATTAAATGCTATTACCCCCTATTAGCTTCCAATAGTTTAACTTATGACATGCGACAAACAAATTAGACGAAAACGGATTTGATTTTGCCTTTTGGTAGCCTACTACACCCTAATCGATACTATTAAACAGTAGTAATTGTTTCCCAGACGGATGAAAATGACTCTATACAGTCAATCATCCTAGTCTTGAAAGCGCAAAACAAAGCTTTCACCACCTCCCCCTCATGAAAACAGTGCTCACGCCTATTGGTAACGTTCAATTTAATTCGATTCAATTCTCACTTTCAGGTCACCAATCCATTTTTTAACCGTCATGATATTATCAGCGAGTTCAATAAACTACATCCAAGCAATACACCAACATTACGTCTCCCTATCCAACGTCTGAGAAAAGCTGATTGGCATTCTTAGGACATGACATTGTTGCAAAAATGGTCAAAGAGAGCAAGAACAAATTGGAGTTTGATTGGAATACCCATGCACCATCCCATATACAGCTCAAAACAGCACCAGAGATAGGAGTTTTATCTCTGAATAGGCTAGAGTGTGAAAGATGTCCTGATGCATGAAATTAAAGATTTGAACTGAAACTTGTCCTTTTTTTCATCTCTTGGTTTTGTAGTTGAAAACTACCGCGCACTGAATTTCTAATCAAGAAACCTCGCGCACTCCGAAGTCGTAGGCAACAAAATAGTAAAAAATTACTGAACAGCATCAAAATGTTAACAATCGTTTAGCTTACTGGCTCAAAATAGTGTTTAGAAAACACCTTGAGACTAAAAAAGACTAATGAAATGATTTGCCGTAGGATCAGTTTTGTTGTATTTTCAGTTTAATCTTTGCCATTGGTTTTCAACACTACTGATAAATTAAATTTTCATAGCTTAGTCTAATAAATAATGGTTAAACCGAATCTGATGACTGTAGGTATCAAATACATGGACTTTTTTCAATTTGGTGTAATATCGTAAAAAATTGATAAATCCCATTCCAATCAATAAAATTTGTTTAGAGAGTTTTGGCTGAAATTACAGTGGAAGGGAAATCGAGCACCCATATGATTTGCGCCAAAACTTTGACCGCGCATCCGCGTCCGTGATGCACATTTCCCACCAAATGTGGCAAACCTACCCATGTTCCAGAGGCTTGTCTTTTATTCTTTTGCTTACGAGCCGATAACATAGTAAGCAAAAGAATAAAAGACAAGCCTCTGGAACCAGGGTATGGCAAACCAGAACTATTGTACTTTGTGATGTTCCAAACACTATAGACTTCTGATGGTCTTATCGTTTTGTTCATCTACCCTGGCAAATGTTCATTTATATGAATTATTTGCACAGGCGCGAAGCACACGACGTCTCGTGGCGAGTTTTATCACTGCACCTTTCAGTTTTAACTCATCGTTTTGTTTACAGAGGTTGAGTTGTGAATTCTAAGTCTTCCTSGTGTTAATGAACTTCATCATATTTGAAGTCATTTATTCATGAGTAAAAATATAAAAATCCTGGCAATGTAAATGGTTTTGTGGCGCGTGCTTTGCCGCTTCGCATGCGTACAGTCAAAATGCGGTCACACGTAAAACGGAACAGTTATTAAAAAAAGTATATACAAGTAGATATATCGTTAACCGCAAGTTATACTACACATTCTATTTTAAGTATCGTTTCCTAGCAACTTAGAATACTTTAGAAAGTATTTTATCAGAAGAATTCCCCAAATCGCTAGTTTCATCATCAGTGCTTAGCTCTATTCGAGTTAAATAAGCTTTGAGAAACGTAATAAGTGGCGGTATATAGTAATAAAGATGTAGTTTTGATTTAACATTAGTTAACGATAAAAACTTGATTGACTCTACTAAMAATAGTTGGCTGACCCGTTATATAAATGCATACCTCTGTAATAAATATTATTTTATATATTACCTAACGATTTGGTGCCTTGCTAAGAACAATTAAGCGAATTGAATTTGGGTACACTGTGTATTTAAAAATTGCGTATATTTTGAAAGAACGACCACTTTGAATACTTGAGATTTGTTTATCTTATTTTAACAGGATTTTGCTGACGTTGATAAGTGATTTTTTTAAAGGAATGAAAGAATTGTGCAACAACTAGAGTATGACTTCAAAATAGAAGAATTCTTCTTGTCTGCAATCATGATAGTTTTCATTCCAATGCAGAGATTTTATCGAGCTCAATTTGCCCAAACCCTTAGCTGGAATTCAATTTTTAACATTATCGGTGGATCCAATCAGCAGAGCTGGTGAGGTTACCTTCCGTTTACATGATCACTAACAGATATAATCCACCTGATAGTTTAGCAATGACTTCAACTAATTTAAATCTTACCATCACACACGCGTACGTTGTTTACTCAMTACCGAATGTTCCAGGATTTTWACCCTTTTTGGCCTACCTTACCTCTGGATGAATGGAAAATAGCACGCTGAATTTAGTTAATCTAATCAATTAACTAAAATGAATGCCACCGACTCGCCTAATTGCAAAAATAAACAACACTTCAAGTAGATGAAAGTGAGTGCAGACGGTTTGAGACATTCTTCTCCCGACTGTGACAAATTCACCCGGAAATTCTCTCTTCGTACAAGAGCAGTTTGACGTCACTGTAGTATTTTAGATGGAGGTTTTAAAAGCGAWTTATACAACGAAATTCTAAACAAAGTTAACGCCTTAAAAAGGAATGACATTTGAAAACAGCGGGAGGTAGTTCCAAAAGACCGCCAACACGAAACGTTGCGTACATAACTTGCAAAAATATGACCCAGAAACAAAATAGATAATATTTACGTTGATTTGTGTTGTAATTATTGTATCCCGGGGTCTATTAATTGAAAAACGAATTGAAATTGATTTTTTTTGAAGAATACCTGGGGTTTATTTTTAATCATAATAGGAAAATTTCCTGAAAGATATTTCACATGTCAACAAACCCGTTTTCCTTACCGTATTGCGTTAATACTAAAACAAAACGATGATTTACTGCTTGTATAATGCCAGACGAGTGGCGAGTATCCAATTAAAATGCTTCTTTTATTCAAAGAGAAACTATTACGTTCAGAATAATTTAAAAAAAGCTGGGAAATCTCAAAACATCTTGAAAATGCCATTCATCTTCATTGCATCAGAATAATGTTAGAGATTGTTCCAGCAACAAACATGAGAGCTTTAAATCATGATTGTATAACATCCAATGAGAAGCGGGCAACTGAATGAACAAAAACAACTTAATTTCGTCCCAAGACATTTTTTCGTATCAATCGTTAAGTGTTCGTAATCCAATGAACACTTGAGCTCGAGTTCTACCAGGGCTTCTGTCGTCACTTCTTAGTGATTTTTAATATCTCGTGCTTGTCAATATTTTTAATCCGCCATCAACTTTTGTGATAAAATTTCGTCAAGACATATTGGAAAAATTTTCAGAGTATACATTATCTGATAATATATTTGTTAAATTAAGCGTTTTTAAGTAACTGTTCAGTGGAATTGTCAGTACTTTATTCGATAGTTTAAAGTCTAATTTTCACATAGAAAGCCGTTGGGTCTTCAGCGTAATTTGTCTCACTCAACACCGTCCATGTTGTCCACGAATTATGTTATACCTACGACCGACATCTTGCATGTCCGAGGTTTGCCTGCTCAAAATTCATGATATGTAAATTGTATTAATGTAATTTAAAGTCTTGATATGTTTTTGTGTTTGTCAAAAGAAAACCTATTTATTTGATGGAACAAAAGAGCCGAAGTAACACATATTTTAATTGAAAGATTATCATCCGATCTGTAGCGAACAATCTGTAGCAATCAAAATCACTAAAACACTAACTAAAAGACTTAAACCATTGCTGGTAACGTCCAAGGCGAGTCCGTCAGTAAAGAGATAATTAACCCTAATAGTTAGCTGTACGACACACCCAGCAAAGATTAATTTGAGTCAACAGTAGTGACAGTTCATATGTTCTAGTCAAATATGTTGCAACGTTGCCAAAATGAAGTCATCTGTTTAACAAATGGCAGTTCTTTTTTGCTCAACGGTTGTTAAACTCCTTGTATTTTGTCCCTTTTGTGGTGTTTTTCTCTTGTGAAAGAACACATACTGCGTTAAACTAACACTAGTAATCGGCTAAATAGTGCCCCACTGCGCGAGTGGGTTACCATCGCATCTCGCGCCAGAACTGCTTGTCTAAGCTGGTTTATTTTTAGTTCAAAGTCCTCATAAATAAGCAAATAACTCGGCTGATACGGTTGTTTGTGATAACTTAAGTTAGACCATTATAAAATAAAGTTGAAATATCTTCGAAATGGGAATAAAATGCGGGAACTCATAAAATGAGCTGACTGCCTTTGTTTCAAGTGATTTCTGATCATGCTATGAGTACTATAAAGAAATTATTCTTGGTACTTATAACAAGGGACCCGTTTTCATGTTGTTCTTAGTGTCAAGTGGAAGTTATTTTGAACTGAAAACCTATTTTAAAGCTAATCCTTTAAGCCCAAACCTCACCATTTTATACTGGACAACAGGCAATAAAAAGGAACAAAAGAAATCTAAGTGGCTTGTGACAAAAAGACAAAAAGCCCCCTATCTTTTTTCGAATTTAAAAAGTCAAAAGTAATTATCATTTTGCAAAGTTGCGAATTAGCGTGCCAAAGGCCTATAGTGATAAGTGATATATATCTTTTCTTGTACTCACACGAGCCCACTTTAAATCACTGATCCTTGTAGCACGAGATTGATTATTTCCTCAGAATGATGTCCCTCAGCTGATATGATCCAGGAATTGAAAAGGTATGAAGAAATTTCTTGCGATTTGGCGGCGCCCTTGTTGATGGCATAAAATGGGCACAGAGGCGCAAATTCCASGGTACAATAGACGAGATCCGAGAGTAAGATATAAGAAAAAAAAACATCTTAAACTTCCTTGCAAGAGCACAAATGGTTATTTGCATAGTGACATGTTTTTGGTTAGGATATTTCGGTTGTTGAAATACCGACAGCACTCACAAGATGACAAAATGTCAGTCTAAAAATAAAGCCAAGCTCCACTCAGGATATTGCAAAACTTTATTGTAATTCATCTAATTGCCTTATTTGCTATTGTATGACAMATGTTAAAATATATATGCAAAAAAGAACACGAATGAAAACACGAGCCGTTTCTTAGCAATCCTTTTATTTCAACATCAACATGGATGAGCAAATGCATGATTGACAACGTTAAGCCTTCTGCTACAATTAGTGAGTAAATTCTTCTACTTTCATGAGCACTGTTGATATAATAAGTGTCATAGGTGTTTTAATTCTTAGGGATGTTTTAAAAATCACACCTATTGTGCGAGAACTTTTAGCATACTCTTCAGAACTATGTGAAAGAAGGGTGTTATCCAATTGGACATTAGATTCCAAAGTTGGACATCATTTAAGCTCTAAACAAACATAGACTATTTCTGTTTAGACAACCGTTACAACAAATTACAATCCCTTCACTAATTTCGACTTGCTCATTAGCTTTTAAATCTAACTGTTGACAGTTTGCGAAATTTTTACAATGACATGATTGTCGGGTGGGTCTTGATTGGCCTTTACCGGTTGATTATGTCATTTGTGACCCCCAAAGGGAATAAAAATTGAGGCAAATCAAACTAAGACAAAAACATCGTTTACATGGGACTTTAGCAATCAACGAGATTTAGGCCTCAAATTAATGTGGTTAAAGTTTTAAAAAGCTTTCGGTGGAATGTGTGCATTTCGGCGGATCTTTTAGAAGGCGCGGACTATAAAAGCGGGCAGGTGTCAGCCGATCAGCATCAGGAAGTCTCGATGCTACTGAAAAGCTAACAAAATCTACAGAAATAACAATAGAGTGGCAGTCAAATTCCTCTTAGCCAATCAACGCCTCGCTACTATGAAAGCCATTTTAGTGCATTGAAATTGGCCAAACTGAACTACTTGTCACAAAGATGTCGACACAACTCCGTGAAACCACCGCGAAAATAGTCACTTCTAAACATTTTCCGAGCTGAGAAAATTTTGCCTGCGTACCAGCTAAGCTGAATCAAGTCGAATTCTTCAACTGACAATGAAACTTGGTCCATATCAGTTTCTCTTTAACCCTATTTTTGTCACTCTTCTGCTCTTCCAGTTTTCACTCAAATTTGGCCATTCGTGTCCCTCAAGAGGCGGGCTGTATAGGCGAAATTCGAGGAAACCTTTATATTTGAAGCAACGTGTACCAGACGTTGAAGAGTTTTCAATTAAAGCTAGTGGAAAGTCTCAAGGGAAAATCACACGAAATTCTTCCAAGTTCAATACTTTGGTATCCTGCTATAGCACCGATATCGTRTTCAAAGATGAAGAAGGCACCGGAGCAGACCGTATCATGTCGAAGGTAAGGTTCAGTCGTTTGTTTACATTTCCTATCTTGTCTTTCATCGCAATTTAGCGCTCAGCATGGCCACTCCTTGTGTGGTTTACTTACACTCGAAATAAGGTTTCATTCACGAAATATTTACTACCCTTRCATAATACACGTTTGCAGCTTCAAACTGTTCTGCTCAAATCCACAGAGACTTCGAGAAAAGCTGAGAATCTTAGCTAAGAAGGTGAAGGAAAAATGGCGAGGATCAACAAGACTGAGAGTGATTGAAGCWTGGGACGAAGATGGAACTCATTCTGCCCATTCACTACACTACGAAGGAAGAGCAGTGGACATTACAACATCGGATTTGGACAAACAAAAATACCCCGAGCTTGGAAGGTTGGCTGTAGAAGCAGGGTTTGACTGGGTTTTCTACGAATCGCAAGAACATATTCACGCTTCTGTATATGATTACAAAGGTTAGAATGCATAAATTGCTTTTGTTTCAGTTTTTCCAACCATTTCACGTTTTATTTCATGCATTGTTTTGATGAATGTTGAATTTGTTGTCAAGGCATGGTTGTTTTAGTGTCTGTACGAAATGTTTATAGTAATTACCGTCACGGCATTGCAAAACGATTTTCGAAAAAGATCAAAATGCCCTCGAGCAAGGAAAACACTTGGCTTCATTATTGTTCCTTTAAAAGATTTCGAAATGCACATTTTTTGTAAAAAAAAACTGTTTAACCTTATAGTCAAATCTTGTTAGTCCGATTTACACTATAAATCTTAAATCTATTTCGACATTAAAAAAAACTTCGAATTAATTAATTGGTTTATCGATGTTCGTTATTCTTTATACGTGATTTTACAACGGATATTAATAAACAGTATGTTTTAGTGTTTATTGCTCATTTTTGAATTTTAAAATAGGTCAAAAAGAACCGTGGAAGGGCTGTTTCACGGCAAACGCGAAGGTAGTTCTAGAAGGCGGGAAAAGGATCCCAATCAAGAATGTAAAACCTGGACARAAGGTGCAATCATTGGACGACCAGGGAAAAATTGCCTTCAGCGAAGTATTGTTATTTCTTGATTTCGATCCATGGGCTCAGAACAAATCGTTTGTTATCATAGAGACGGAGAAACCATTCAAAAGACTAGCGCTGACAAAAAACCATTTGATATTTTATAAGACCACTAATTCTTCCGAAAGCCTGGCAAAAGTAAAGCTTGCTGGACTGGTGAAAATTGGGGAATATTTAATGGTTGATCACGAGGGGATCTTAATGGCTTCACGAGTCAGTACTGTTGATACTGGAATAAGAAATGGTATGATTGCACCTTTAACGACACACGGCAACTTGTTTGTAGATGGTGTCCTCGCTTCCTGCTACTCGGAGGTAACCAACCATCACCTCGCACACATGGCATTTTCCCCAGTGCGATTTGTCAAGAAATTCGCACCCGGACTTTTAAAGAAAATGGACATTTCAGTGGAGCAAAGAGGGTTGCATTGGTTCGCGAGATTTCTCATTTGGCTGAATAAGCTATTTGGAATAGCGGACTTTGCGTCCAATTTCTAAACTCGCGGACCGAGAGGGCTAGTGTATTACGTGGCCGATAATCCAGCATTGTTGTTCAAGCTCAAAGACAAAGTGCTTTGAACAAATCCTTTCAATGAGCCAGCATCCATCTCTAATCCAAGTAAACAAACAAAGAAAATAGACTTCTTTATTATGCGAAGATTTTTCATCATTGACCAACATCAATGCGGCATTTTCATTAATCATAACTTATATTAAATTAGTTTAACAAAAGGAAAGACCTAAACGGACTAAAGAAGTGCATGSAAATTGTACAAAAAAAMCCACACATCTGTAGGATATTGTTGGAGTTAGTGTTTGTACTAATTGTGTACTCATTGACGTTAAAGGGTGTCTTGGTGGCCCTTAAAGCCAGTTTTGCGTGGGAACACTCCTCCTTCTTTAAGGTTTAGGCTCTTCTTTAAAGCCGATCTAGATACGGTATTATTTAAGTGTGTAATATCAATGTAGAGTATAAATAACTATGTATTTGTATATAAAAAAGACTAATTAACTTATACAATTTAGCACAAAGTCGACTTTCTGTCGACCTTGTGGACGAGTCATTTGAAAGAAAAGACGGAAAATTTCCAAAGAGATTTGACAAGGGTTTAAGCAATGAAAGCATTTAAGGTGATGCTACCAACTCGCAGAGCTAACCTATTATAACGAGTAAAACCTTAACAATTTCACATTAGTTTTCTTTGATTTGAAAACCTATTTTGCATAATTTTGAATCTAGTAGCTCATTAATTGTTAAATTCGCATGGCTTAATTTATCCTACCAGCGCCATGTTCTCTGCTCGAACAATGCACAGGAAATGGCTTTATTTACTAAGTTTCGGGCTGTCAGTCTTAGGGTAGACGATTGACTTAGGTGTTGTAAACTAGCGTGGCAAGACCAAAAATTGAACATGAATCATATCTTAACCAAATATCAAAAATCTTTTTTATTTTTACAACTTAGGAGTTTAAAAACCTATACACATTGTTTAAGCCGAGGGGTGGGTCATTCCTACTTCCATCGGATATATTGATATAGTCCTAATATATTCGGACGTCATTTGTGTAGATTTGGATAGCAGTCCTCTAGTCTAGTCGGGCTGTCTTTGAAAATAAACCCATGTTTACAGCCTTAAAATTAATTTGGACAACTTACAGAAACGATTTCTTCTTCGGGGATTCTTTTTAGGATGAGAATCGAAGTTTGCATAATGTATTTGAGTGCTGGCACCACAAATTTGTAAAGAAAATATTATTAAAAATTGTAAAAGCTCGTCTCTCTTGTTTTGTTCACTGATATGTTTGTTATTTGGGGTTTATTCTAGGTGACGCCCAGACGAATTCTTGAACCTCTGTTATCTTTGGCAAACTTGAGCGATGTAGATAAAGATCGCTCGTGCTCACGGTATGACAAACAATATCAGAGCTCAATTAAAATACAGTTTTAAGATAAAGAAGTTGAATGAACTACGTTAAAATGCGTTTTCAGTAAACAGTGCAAATAACTGCATTTTTGCTCTTGTATGAATGTCTAAAATCTCTTTATAAGGAACGGGCAGTCAGATTAATATTGAGACGTGAATTTTCAGTTAGTCACGGGAGTGCCCGGTTTATTAGTAAGAGTCACAAAATGGCTGGCACGTATTGCTTTCCTGGCGCGCGTGTTAATATCGCTCACGCCTCTCATGTATGTTGAATGTTTCCTCTCAACTGTTTAGAAATTCATCAAGATGTTGTCAACAGCATGCATGTTTCGATCTGAGTGTTGAGATTCTTTTTTCAAAATCTGAAAGGCAAGCCGGAAGCTAGTCGAAAGCGATAAAAGACGACCATTACATAGTAATCATATTTGAGTGAAGCGACAAAAGACGAAATGGTTTATAGCCAACTACTTGAGAATACCGCATGTTACAAGGACGTTTCAAATATTTTGATACATTGGACAAAAAAGCTGAGGATTTCGCAATATCCTCGGTATGTGTAAAGCTAGTTTACTCTTCCCATAATGTAGGACTTTGGGTACGAGCCACAAGGTCTAATCTCAGCCCGACAAACAAACCGTTAAATAATTCTCACTTTCTTTTCCTAGTATAGTTTCATTTATATTACACGATAAACCATTGCAATCCATGTTTTATTGCTTTTATGACAAAGAACGTTACTTTCCAAAGAGTAGGTAACATTTACTGCATCTTGTATCAACCACAGGTCAACTCGCGACGCAAGAACGCATAGCTTAAAAAAGGTCGAGAAGTCGTCTGTTTGGGACTGGCGGTGTAGAAAGRCTTGATAACTGACAAGATCTACACCTCTTTAAAGAATCTGATAATTGCTTATGTGATAAGCTAATGAGCTTAGAATGTACTACAGCTATGATGCCGCAAGATAAACGCTCCTTGCAAGAACAAAAGTTACTACAAGAGCCTTCCGGACAATTTSATTTAAACACAAAAGCGCCTTATCATTTCAYAAATTATTTGGAACGTGCAGTTCAACGYAATATTTAAGTGCATCAATATTCATTTATCCCATTTATTCTAAACCACTCTAAACGTCAATTGACGGTGGTTTAAGGGTATATATGGATGACCGTTAGTCATAGRAAAATTGTAAACTTCAACTGGAGGTGATCATGATGACTATACAGAGATCGTACATTAATTTTTTTTAAAGTTACAAAAGTAAAGATTTTATATTATGACAGCATGAAGTTTGTCAACAACGTGTATATGATATAATGTTAAGTTTATCGAGAATTTAAGAATGGTGGCGAATACTACCCCGTCAGGGTTGCATCTAAAAGTCTCGAAACATCGAAAAAACCGTCAAAAACATTGCCTTKGATTACCTCACGAAGAGAGTTTTTAAATTACAAATCATGCACTTTGAATGTTACTAAACTTTGAGATACATTAAATGCAGAACCGTGACCATAAAGACGCTTTGATTTTATTTTTATCTCTTGACAATTTTGACCTAGTAACCGTTTTGAACTTTCGAAAAGGTTTTGTGGCTTGCGGTTCAATAAGCACGAGCCAWGACACACATCTCAAAAGGCACACGCTCCAATTAATCATGAAAAAAGAGAAGGAACTCTCTAAAACGGTTTAATGAATGCTCTGAATACTTGGTTTTATAAGTAATATCCCCAAGCAAAACGGATTACAAGCGTCCATATCCGTTGACGTTTAAGAGTTATTTTAGAAGCTTTCACTTTACCGAAATTACGTAAATACAATTAAGTACGTAATACTGATAAAGGTTCGTACATTCCTGGGATCTAAGAACGGAAACGGGAATTAGACTAAGGCTTTGAAATTCTTGATATGCTAAAACATGCAAAGTTCTCTATCCCGTCACTGCTGTCAGGCCAATTACATCATAGATGACATCAAGGATTTTCTTTRCTTTAGATTTTTTGAGTGTTTATCTCAAAAAGCACATGCTTTTTTCACCTTTTTCACCTTTTATGCCTTTTCTTCGTATTTTTTTTTCTTCAGCTATATTCTATTTATCTTATCAGAAAAACCTACACTTTCATAATTATCGTTTTATGAATAGCAACAAATACACAATACAATGAGGGAAAGAAATGCATGAACACCACGCCAGTGGTCAGATACCATACTYAGATACGATCGAGTAGTGTTAGAACATCCGTATGAATGGGTCTTTGCAGCTTGCTTAAACAGGTATCCCCTTTGTCAAATGTTTTTTCTCCCTTTTCAGGGCAATACAGTGCTCTTGCTATTTCGCCTGACAACGCTCAAGAAATCGTCTAAATTGCTTCCCCGTATTTTTCAAAATACAGTTTTACCTTTTCTTTGATGGAATTGTGTTTGTAGAACTTCATGCGAAAGTTGTTATATACGACTTCCTCTACTGAAAAAGTCAAATTATCATGGGGTTCCTGTGCTTTACTTCGAAATGGTAACCAAGCTTCCGTTCTAGACCACACCCAAGATGGCGGCCATCAAGAGGCTGCTGAGGTGTGCAGTTTTATGCAGTTTCGTGGCTTGTTCATTAACTTCAAAGTCTTTCAAAGACGAAGATGAAATTATCCACAATGTAAAGTTACCTGGYAAGCGTTTTCTTCGCAGAAGRAATGCAGCAAAGTCCCTCCGCGTCCATTTTGTTTATGTCGATGTCAACATTTCGAATGAAGAAGTCCTGAAAGAATTGCTTCATAAAGCCGAAACATACTTTAAGAATACTTTGAAAGTCAAACACCAAGTAGATAAAATTGTTCTTCAGCGTCGATGTACGAACGACTCCTACTTCTTGAAAAATGAAACTGGAGATGGTCCGGGAAGCGTTCGTTTCTGCAAGAAATCGTGTGACAAAGTGAGGCACTCGTGTGGYATAGCAAGCGTACAAGACAAAGACCTTGATGTATGCCGCGTGTGTGACGAGAATGGACATAACTGTAAAATAGACAAAGATCAATCAAGCAATGCCGGTWTAGGTTACAAAGATACTGACTTCGTTTTGTATGTGACAAGTTTGATGAACAAATGTGACAAGCCAAAGACGGTCGCGTACGCTGCAGCTTGTCAACAAGAGATGACCACCGATAGGCCAATAGCAGGGTTTATTAATGTCTGCCCAAATAAGCTGACTAACAAGTCTCCTRAYGACTTAGAATTATTGTCAACAATTAAACATGAGATATATCATGCTTTGGGATTCTCACCGTCCTTGTTTGCTTTTTACCGCAACTCAACAGGGAGTCCGCTGACAGAACGCCTTCAAAATGGCTTGCCGGCTTATGATAGCGATCTCAAGGTGTATAAATGGAATGACAAGGTATAATGAAATGGAGAAAGTTATTATCATAAGGATAATCATAATAATAAATATATTATATATTTATATAGAGAGAGGAAGAGAAATTATCAGACCATATTATTCTCTACAGAACTGTTTCGTAAGTTGACTATGTCGACTCACTCATATATTTATGTTTATTTATTTTTTATTATGATTATGGCTTGATACATTTATCTATCAACTGAACTAAAGGCTTAACCATTGTGTTCAGATTAAGTTAGTGTATTATAATTTTAATAGTTCAGTATTAACACGTCCTATTTTATATTTTATTTTCCACTTATAACAGATCATCAAGAAAATTACACGGTCAAATTGGAAGATACGGAAAAGCAAAGGAGAGGTTAAACATGATGTCAACTTGATTGTCACACCACGTGTTCGTGAAGAAGCTCAAAAGCATTTTAACTGCTCTTCACTYGAAGGAGCTGAATTAGAGAACCAAGGAGGTCCAGGAACTGAACTAGCTCACTGGGAGAAAAGACTGTTTGAAAATGAAGGAATGACTGGTGCCTTTACACAAAATTCTGCCTTTTCAAGAATCACACTAGCCTTAATGGAAGACACTGGCTGGTATGAAGCTAACTATGACATGGCTGAGCCATTGATTTGGGGAAAAAACTTRGGCTGTTTATTTGCAAAAAACAGCTGTAAAGCTTGGATGATGGCTCAGCCTAACAAAAACATTTATCCATTTTGCAAAAGATTAAAGARGGAACRAGAGGAGCTTCATACRGACTGTTCGGTAGATAAAACATCTGTAGCCATGTGTAACCTTGTTGAATACAAYGCCSCWTTACCTCTAGAATACCAGTATTTTGATTCCATTTCTGATGTTTCACACCCAGAGAGGTATGGTGGCTCAGTTGAATATGCAGATTTTTGTCCCTACTTTCAAGCYCTTACCTGGACAAAAGATAATATTGAATTGCGTGGCTCTTCTTGCACCTTACAAAAAAATCAAAAGCCCCAAGATAAGAACTATGCGCTGGAGGAATATGGAAATGCGAGGTGCTTCCTTCAAGATAGAAAGTGGAAGAAATCAAAATGCMGAACACGTTGGATAACCTCTAACTGGGGCAGTGGTTGCTATGGTTATAAATGCACAAGTAATGGTCTAATAGTTGTGGTGAACAGTCATGAATTCAAGTGCTATTTTTCAGGTCAAGTTCTTGATCTAGATATCCAAACTTCTGATGGTTGGGTTCATAATGGATCCATTGTGTGTCCTAAGTGTCATGATATTTGCTAYAATACTCAAGTGACTTGTCCCAAAGATATTTTCCCAGCTCCTGAAGTTTTGACTATGCCCAAGAAACAACCAGTAGTCTGCAAAGGAAATATCCTTCATTGTCTAAATATAYTGTATATTCTTGTGGTTATACTTTATATCAGCTTCATGGCATTGACTTAGTGAAATTTTAATATCATCATCATAGATTTTTCATTAAATTGTGGGATGCCTTGAGAAGCAAGAATTGAAATATAGAATATTATGGTATAGGGTATATCAAGAGAAAATATTTGCTAATGRCATCTTAAGTGATATGACAAGACATTTTGTACAGACAAAATCTGTTAAAGTGGTCAAAAATCTTCCACTTTGACTTTTAATTTATTGATCCCAGCTCAGCAAATTCAACATATTATTTTTTTGAGGCACTCTCCTCATGATGTAAAATATTACATTTAAATTATAATTTAAAGGCCTCCTTGGCATTCCATAATTCCTTAGTATTCAAGGTTGATAGATACTTCTTAATACTTCTTAATAATTTCTGATAACTAGGCTGATAGATAACATACATCTGTTCACACACCAGGCTTTTCTGATTCAATTTTACAAGGTTTTTATGCAGATTCTTAACACAGAACTTTGTCCTCATTTTCTAAAACAATTATTACATAGAGAGGTGAAAAAGAACCTGTGAAATTTTTGGATTATATTTTCATTCATTCATTATTTTTATTGTTTTCTTTATTTGTGTCTATTTGATTGGGTTCAAGTGAAAACAAAGAGCTTCTACGTATGATTGTGTTTCACAGGTTTACTGACCTCACTTCTTAAAGCGATTTCCAATTATAACTGCGTCAATGACTATCTCTTATAATATGCAAGTTGATCAAGTCTTTTAATAACTGTTGGCTCTATTATTCTGTGACAGTTGAAGAAAAATCATTGTAGATTGAATTAAATATNAAGTCTAAGTTGTTTTATGGCAGATATGACTTCGGTTTCGTCAGGTGGATCACCATTGATAAAATCAGTTGGAATATGTAGCAGTGAAGTTGATATGTGTGCAGGCATATTGACTAACTCATGAGGGATTTCTGATGGAATTGCTTTGTTAAAGTGTTGCTGGAAGTGATCCTTGAGTGCATTACATACTGATGGTAGGGAGGCTTTATTGTTAAATGTATTATGTTGTTTAGCATTTCGAAATAACTTTTCCAGATCCCTTGATGCTGCTGCTTCATTGATGTTACTAGCTTTAGCTTGGTAGAAATCTTTCTTCAGCTGGTTAGCTCTGTTTTCGATAAGTTTTGATAATCGCCGGTAATGCATTTTGTCAGTAGGATAGTTAAGCTTGTTGCGTTCTTCTTTAGTCTGCTTAACTCATCATCGTCTCGCCAAGGTAGAGGTTCGTGGCACCCAAGTCATCTTTTTTGGCAGACTTTTTTCGGCTGTGTCAGTTAGTTCTTCATCAGTGATTGTTGCTACTTGACAGTTGATGCTTTGATGTTGAAGGGGTAGCACTTTTAATTTAACCAAATTATTCTCGATAAATCTTTGATGTAATTCAGGATCTTTTAGACTGCTATAGTCTATTGAAGATTTCTTTGAGTAGTTTCGTCTTCAGTCGATCATTCTTAAGAAGAGGGATAGCCCAGCGTTGAATAAGGCATCTATGATCACTATTTAGGGTCGTTCCATTCAAGTAATTGTTCTTTACTCGACAATCCAGGCAWTAGGAAGAAAGCATTTGAGATGCAATAGCATAATCTAGGGTTTTAATGGTATGACCATCATTACTGTGAAAAGTCACTAAGTGGTTCTTTGTGTGCTTAAAATAGGTGTTTAATATCCCCAATGAATTCCTGACGCAAAAGTTTGTCAATGCCGCGCCATTCTCGTTACTTTGGAAATTGGTACAATAGATCTTGTTTCGTCCAAAGTGTGTTGGTTGTAGATGTTTGACTAARGTTGTAGTAGCATTTAAATCTCCAAGGAATAGTTTTTCTGTCTTTCGAGGTATTTGATCTACTTCATTTTGCAAGGTTCGCCAAAAGTCTGATCGTTGGGCTTCATTTCCCGCGGTAGTGTTGGGCAATTGGTGGGTGCATAGAGACAGAAAATTCTTATGTCAACTCCAACATACTGAAGGTCTATCCACATAATACGCGGACTGATCTGACAAACTTGCATTATTCTCTGTTTAGGATCATGTTTAACAGCAATAGCTACTCCATGTATTCTTTTACGTTCACAACCGCTCCAGAAGATATCCCATTTAGTACCATTTTTAGTTTCAATAGTTCTGCTATCTTTTGAMGTTCTTCTAAATTCTGTTAGTGCCAGAACGCTTATTTTGTGTTCAGATGCTAGTTCTAACATCGTCTAAACGATCTTCATATTTATCTGAGCAAGATGAACATTTAAAGCAATGATAAAGTCATAGTTCTCCAATGGGAAAGCTTTTTCTGTTTCTTGGATTCCCGGGGGGGGGAGGGGTACTCGACCCCGTTTTGGATAGGTACGTGCCGCCAGCGGTCTAAATCCCTGACCCTGTTTAAGACACTAAAAAGTAAAAATCCATACCCTGTTCAAGGCAAATCGAAAAAATAAGGAATAGCTATCTACGCCGCAAACATCAAAACTGCAATTATACCCACATCCATCAAAGACAATAAGAAGTTTTTGAACGTTAATTCTGTGAGACGGTATTTCTACGGTGTTATGAAAATATTACCCTGTCCAAGACACACAAAAAAAATATATCATTCGGTCTCTTCTATCTAAATTGTAGAGCTTGTTTAAGACAATTTCGGGTGAAATGTATACCCTGTTTAAGACAGCAAGGCCAAAAACCAAAAAGCAAATATATGGGAATCCCCCCCC